AACTTTACAAATCTCACCTCATGTGGTTTAATGGAAACAGAAAAGTAGCTTTGGTCACATTAATATTTAGCACATTAGTATTTTCTTATAACCAAATTTAAATAAATTCAAGAACAAATGAGATACAAGGTCAAAAAGACATTACTTTCACAGATTATCAGCTCCAAAAAGTGGTCTACACTCCAAAATTAGACAAAATGAAAACCTTTCTGCAAAGACGAGGGGATCAAAAGTTTTCCACACTGATGTGAAAGACTCACTGGCAGATATCACAAATTCAACATATAGCTTTTTTTTTTTATAATTTAACAATGACACGGCGCTCCCATCTCCACAGGAGGCAAAGCCTGATTAAAGGTTTCACACAAGAGAATAAAAAAACGTATAGGTATAAGTTATCAACCCCAACTTCAAACGTTAACATCAAAGCTTGCTGCTGTGGAGTTGTTCACGCAATCTTCTATCTGCCACTAAATGTCCAAAATACCCTAATGAAACCTAATGTTTCTGTCTTTGAGAGTTACACCTAGCCTCATGTGACAATTCAAGAACTGTGCCTTCGGGTAGTTTTGTCAGACATTGTGTAGAGAGACACAGAATAAGGTAAAGCCATGTTTCAATCCCACCACTGCCACTCAGAGGCTCTTTGATTCAAAACAGCATCAGCAGCAACAGCAAGCTCCTCCGTTTCTCAGCCCATCTGTGGCAAATTAGAAAAGAGTCCTCACTTCAAAAGAAATCTCAGAGCATTGAAAGAAACTGACCTTTTCAGGGAAAATGCAAGTCAAATCAGAGCTCGGCAGAGAGAGACGGGGCAGTGTTTGCTCAGGGCAGTCCTCTCTTCTACCTCTTATCTGCCCGTTTGAGCCCAAACTGAAACAAATGGCAGGGAAAGAAAGGGCTTTGTTGCTGTAGCGACGAGTGACAGCTAGGTTTGTTTTACAGCTCTGCCAGTTAAAACAGATCTTAAGTAAAATCATGGTGGATCTGGGAGGAGAGAAAAAGACCTGGAACATCAGTCAAACCTGTGACATTTACCGTCAACAGAAAGCCATTTTCAAATCGCACACCAGAACCACCAGGCTAAGTTCACGTTATGTAAAGTCCAAAAAGATTTGGATTTCTGCTTGTTTTCTGCTTTTCAGAGATTATAAGAAAACATTTCATCTTCATCAATCAGACTAAAACTTTTATCTGATTACTTTTAAATATCTGCTAATCTATTAAGTGCATAAACTATTAGGGGTTTTCTAATTAACGGACCAGGCCTAAATGCAGCTTTAATGAGAAAACACACTTACACCCCTGTTGACTTTAGCGCACGTGGAGAATGAGCTTTTAAACATCAGACAGTAGAGAAGCAAAGTGACAGCAGAGTTAAGGAATCAGCAGTCCTGGCCTGATGGTAATCAATAGCAATCGTTGATCTATTAAAGGCCCATTACAGGGAAGCGTGTTCTGCTGCCTGAAAGCGGGTCAGGAATGAGAACAGGTAGTTCTCGGCATGCACTCGTGAGCGCAAGTGGAAAAGACATGTGGCTGTTAGGCTGCCGACTTTAATTCCCACTGACTCGCCACCTCTCCCGCCGAACCGATTCCCGGAAGCAAACGCACACTTGCATGCAATGCTGCAAACAAACCAGCTCTGAAGAACACGCAGGCTCCTTGAGATGCACAGCCAATCAAATATTAGTCCAGAAGAAGAGAAACGAAGGCCAGCATTGAGAAAAACACAAACATGAAGATAAACAGATGAATACCTTCCACACAGACATAATGCATTAGAGCTTCTGCTCTGATGTGGATCAGCTGAATGCAGCTGGAAAGTCACGCTGAACAACAATCCTTTTTTTTTTTTTTATCATTTTGTTTCCATGAGAACAACGTCTTCTTTTTACCTCCCACTTGAAATAAGCATAGTATTACCTACTGAGAGACTGACTGCAGTTCGACGTCTGATACAAAGAAATGCTTACCGGTGCCTGAAACTGTTGATTGAATATAGGAATTTCATCTCCATCAACTTGACACATTGTCCAGCACAATGAAGCCACATGTGTGGGCGGCTGAGTTCTTTATTTCCTCATCCATTTGTCTTTTTTTTTTTTTTAAAGAGTGCAACAAATATTCTTACATTATGTGCTCATCAGATTAAATCACTTAAAATATTGACAAAACCAATGAATTTATTTATTTGAGACAAAAAAAATGACCTCCCCACAAGGTTGTGAATATAAATATAAATTTGTTGCTAATAGGGGCTGCACAGTGGCGCAGTTGGTAGAGCTGTTGCCTTGCAGCAAGAAGGTTCTGGGTTTGATTCCCGGTCTTTCTGCATGGAGTTTGCATGTTCTCCCTGCATGCGTGGGTTTTCTCCGGGTACTCCGGTTTCCTCCCACAGTCCAAAAAACATGACTGTTAGGTTAATTGGTCTGTCTAAATTGCCCCTAGGTGTGTGTGTGTGTGCGCATGGTTGTGTGTCTGTGTTGCCCTGCGACAGACTGGCGACCTGTCCAGGATGTACCCCGCCTCTCGCCCGGAACGTTAGCTGGAGATAGGCACCAGCACCCCTCCCGACCCCACTGAGGGACAAGGGTGTTCAGAAAATGGATGGATGGATGGATGGATTTGTTGCTAATAACTCACATAGTTAAATAAAGGGTAAATTAATAAATAAAAGTCCCCTAACTGAAAAAGGGCCAATGATGGTGTGTTTTAATTATGTTCCCTTATTTATTTCTGGTTATTTATGCTTCTGATATAATAGGAAAAGCCCAAAATGTGTCTTGATTAGAAATATTGTGGAATGAAATAATACTTTCAAACCGTTTTCTGCTCTTAGTGGTAGGATCATAAGACACTTAAACAAATTGAAGCCACCACAAGTGGAGCCTTTTGAAAGGACACTCTGAACCGCTTAAGACAAGTTTAACTGAAAAGTACTAAAGAATGAAAACTTGAAGGAAAATGAGAGCAAAAAACCATCAATGTTTACAGTGAATGTGTGAAAGGACTTCATAAAACCTGGAAATCCTCATCCTCATTGCTCAAGAGATCAAAACATAAAAATCATTTTAGGAAAATACAAGAAACCTTTGATGTTTAGAAGTAAAATATTAAGGGATGCAAGATAAGTTTAGTCATTTTCACAGTTTGTTAAGGTTATATTCACACTTCATTCTCATTTACTCTGCTTTAACTACCGTTGGGGTGTGAGAGGCTGCAGAGTTATATCAATCAATCAATCAAAACTTTAAAAGTATAGTTTCTGGTTTTGGAGCTCAAAGTCCAGAAAAAATTTACTGCATTGAAAACACACTTTTGGTTGGTTACTTAAGAAAAAAATTTTGCTCCAAAATACCTTTTGCATTCAAAAATAACAGTGTCTTCGCAGATGTGGAAGACGTTCATGTCATTTATACTAATGCACCTGTGTGACTTTATGGATGATAGGCTGTGAGCTGTGTGCTTCTAAAAAGATGAATGTTCTGCTCAACGTTAACTTGGAGCAAAGAGAGGCTATCATTTCTGAAATTAAGGCCTACTGGTCCAACCAGAGGATGGGTCTGACGTAAATGAGCTCAGGCTCAGATAAGAAGACGACATTGCTGGATTTGAACTGAGAAACAAACTTTTACTTCTGTCAGGTTCTCTGGGATGGGCAAATAAGTTTTTAAGAGGATTGTGGAGAGTTATGCAACTTTTAAAGCCTGGATTACCCTTGACAGAGAATCAGCAGGGACAAGACATAAAATTAGCCAATTAGCTATTTCATATGTCCAGTCATGTTTGAAGATGTGCATTATTTTATAAAAGAACACAATTAGAAGTCTGTTCCTCCATTAACAAAATGTTTGACAGCAAGAAAAAAAAAATGTCCTGATACAAACATCAGACACAGAGTTTGCATTTGTCCTTTTAGTCTTTCCAACCAACAAATGACATATAAGAATATTGTTCTGATACACAATAATCAAACACCTTGGCATCTCCACTACTGACACACGTTTACAAGGTCAACTCAAAACTTAGAACTTATTACATTTCAGCTGCCTTAGATTAGAGTTACAGCAACGCACAGGGTAGGGAATCCTGCATGTCACAGATTAATGGTTGTGTTATTATCAGTGGTTCCTGAATCTGATTTTATAGAAGAACTTAAATCAGTCAGAAAGGTGGTCTGAAAAAGAATGCATCAAAAATAATTTATTTTACACAGACCACAATTAAGTTCACTTTTAATCCTCGTCTCTCAAAAGTATCTCCTTTATTTTTTTCCTTTAAGTCCATTCTTTGATCAATTTGCCCAATCTGTGGTGCCAAGATGAAAATACAAGCAGGGCTCTTCCAAGTGCTCTGGACTTGTGGGATCACCTGGAAGTAATTAGTCACAAAGGGGCTTGCTGAAGTCGCTCAATACTTCTGCCTCACCCATTTAGCTAAAACAGCCAATCAGCTAAAAACTCTCCTCAATGAGGCATGAAAGGCTGCTTTTATTTTACAATCAAACCAACAACCTTCTGAGAGCAAATCGGTTTCTTTTCCTTAAGAGCGTTTCAGCTAAAGTGAAGAGGGAGCTGTTGAAAGGAGGCGCAGATCTTAAAAGCTTCAACACTTTGAGGTGTTCATCACAGACATCAGCTTTGTTTGCCGAGTAAAACAGAATGCTGACCGTCTTTGCTCCAATTTGGTTTAAATAAACCTAATGAAAAAAAAACAAATCCAACAACAGGAATAAAGAGAAAACTGCCTCAGAAGTAGTAAGAGAACGTAACCGTGATTCAATGTCACTGAAAATGATCGAGACTTTTGCAAGGCACCGTACTTCAATGAAGAAGTTCTCCATCAAAATATGAAACTATTTCACTCAGACTGGTGAGTGGAATCAGACTGTGACTTTGTAGATTGACTATTGTGGCAGTAACAGTAAAAACTCGTCATAAATGTCTTGTAAGCAGCTCAAAGTATAAAGATTAAGAATAAAATAACAGAGTTCCTACATGTGATGATGACCAGAAGGGTGCGGAGCAGAAGATCGACTGGCTTCTCCCATCTCTCCGACACGCAGGTCAAAATCTGCGGGATGAGGATTTCTGCAGGAACGTAGAACTGCAGGGCAAAAGTGATGAATATGCCGAAACAATACAGCAGTTTTACTGCCTGGTACGTCCTGCAAGCAGACAGAAAATCAGCACAAATATTACCACAAAACCTCAATTTCCCTTAAAAATAACGGCATACAAAATGAAAGTTAGAAACTGTATGATGTGTAGTTTTCATAAACATAATTTAGTCTCTGCTTTCCATTTGAGACAGATGCTGCTAATTACAATCTTTGAGTTTTCAACCTCATTGAACAGCCAATCTATTCCACTAAAACGCAACATCAGTCCAGCCACAAAAGCCGCTTCAATGGGCGTCGCTCTCCTGCAGCTGTGATGATAGCAACAAGTAATGAGTAAACAAATTCTGTCTGAGACTTCGGTTCCACTTTCGTTACTGCGGGCGCGTTTCCATCAGAGGGAACCAGACTGATGGCCAGAAAAATGACACCTTTGTTTCTGAAATGCTGATTATACAGCTAACTTTATTTCTAATTACCGAGGGTTTCTCATTAGCTTTTACATCGGTCTGTGCTGAACTTTGGGGAAAATAAAAGTTTCATGTAAAACTTTGTTTTATGCCACAGAAAAAGCTTCAGTGTTACCATTTACTGCCCTGGCAGGGTGGGGCGGCTTTACAGGCATCTCTGATCAGAGATATGTCTAAAGTTAAAATTACACCAGGTTGTACAAACTGTTGACATATTCCCATCAGCTTATTTATTTTATCTAGGCATGTCACTAAAAGCAAATTCTCAGGGTTAAACAAGGTCAGCATTGCCAAAGTAAAGACCTACAAAGCAATTTGTGTTATGTTAATGCAAAATGTTTCCTCTCTTAAACTAAACAAACATTTCACATCATACTATGTTCAAAACTGTGGATTGGATCTTTTACTGCAGATGAAAGGAAAAGAGCAGCACATCCTTTAAGTTCTCTAAACTTCTTGTTATCTTACCAGCAGTTTGGCAAGTTTAAAGTGATGCTGCCGCCGATGTGCTCTCCAAAGCACATGTACCCGATGGTGCCGAGGCTGATGTAGAGGAACGTGACGATGCCCATACCCAGATACAAAACCTGGGTGAATTTCTGCGGCCGCTGCATTTTATTTTCCAGAGGGAGGACCTTCCAACGCACAAAGACACAAACAAGGCAGGAAAATGAAAAAGACGGCTCAGCAGGTGAAAACCCAGTGAACAAGTTTTTGGAGTCTGCTTAGAATTAGTTACTCTTTCAAAAAGTCTCTTGTTCTCAGGCTGTGATCTCTTGATTTGGGCATCTGGACATTGCAGGAAAGCCCAAATTTACATTGATATTTCAGCAAAAGCCCAGGGCTCCATTTCAAGGCATTCAACATATTCAAAAGCATTATATTTATCCCTTTATGCTGTGCTGGTGAAGAGTAAAACAAATGAAGGTTTTGTTTTCTTATCCACAGCTCCCACAGAGATCTATGTGATCAGCAGGCTTTACAAAGAACAGATACAAACAACATGTGGGCCTGTGATCTTGTCCTCTAGATATTTTTGCCAGGATCACATCCAATTAAAATCCCAAACGAGAATCTAACACACGTGGACACACCACATGCCTGTGTATATGAGCAAAATCAGGGTTACTTATAGTCACCATGAACAAAGAAAGTCCAACTATGTTTTAACCGTCAGTATTTGGGCATCAGGACATAATGATTAGGCATCAGGTTCTAGGATTATTTTTGTGGTTTACGTAAGGAGCAACGTTTTTCTGTCCCCCTATCAGTCGACCATGTTGTGTGACGCCAGTAGCTCCAGTTTACCCATAATGTTATTCCATTGACCTACCACTAAAGGAGGTCTGGGAATGGAGCCGTACAGGTCAGTTGTAGGGGCCGTTTTTACACTGGAAATAAGACAAACAAGGGTAGCAAACAGCACCGAGGAGCCGTTCTGCTCAGTGGAAACGAGGCATTAATGTCTCACCGCAGACCTTCAACCTGACTGAAATGCACACTTTAACTCGTTTGTTTAGTTCTGTTGGTCTCATTGATGATGTTGGGCCAAACTTCACTTGGATTAATTATTTTGTACTTTGACTCTAGAATACAAGGCAGTGCAAGGTTAATTTCATGGCTGCCAAAATCCTCACAATATCTGATAAATAAGATTTACCATAAATAAGATTGATCATATATTTATATTATTATCAAGTCTTATTTGTTTTTTTGGAATTATGATCAGGCACTTCGGCCCCATCTGGACAATGGAAATGGTTCCAGAAGTCCAGTTGTTCAGGGAGATGCAACTTTGCAAACCCATATTCATTTTAGAGGGAAGTTCAATTAAATAATATTTTTTTTTAAATCCCACTGTTTAAAGTTGCATTTGAACCATAACAAATGGAACATATTTTATGTGTAACAATGATTTTTAACAATGAGAAAATACAATGTCTGTCACTGGTTTTCACAACTGTTGACTATATGATGCATTTATTAAGTTTTCATAATATAAAGCACTTTGAACTGAATTGCTGCTGAAATACAAATAAACCTGATTTAACATTAACTTTAACATTCAACATTTTAATAAAGGTTTGTAGCATCCGAGATGGAGTTATTGGGCTTTTTGGCCATTTCTTTGAGCATTGAAAAGCCTGATCTTGGGGTAAATTTGCACCCTAATATTAGAAATATTACATATATTTTTCAACTTGAGAATAAATCTTTCTCTCCATAAAGTCTTGGTCTTCAAATAGCTTATAAATGTCATCATAAACCTCTCTAAAGTCAATGCTGATATCTTTCCTCTTTGACATTCTGCTTTAATCAAGATGTTTCCACTGAATGCATTAAATCAGCAGCAAATGGTTGTTACTGTCCCTCTTTGAACCATTTGTGTTTGTGATAACTGGTGTTTTTGTGTACTTGAGGTCAGAATAAATGATTTCAGAACCTGATAAAACCAAACCCATTTTTGTGCCCATCTACAAAATATGTGCAAACCAAAAAAGCTCTTTGTACAAATTGTTCTGACAAGCAAATAGAAACTCTGTGCAGAAAGTCTCGCCACATCTACCTGAATGAACTTAGAGTAAATGCTCCTCACCTTTTTGTACATTTATTTTAACTACAGTCAGGTGAAAAAGCTGTGTGCAATGTGCAATTACTTATTAACAGACTCTTGAAGGTTGGACATAAATGTGATGCAACAGTTGAAACATGACAGAGAAGGAGTGCTGCTGAACTCAAACGATGACAAAGGAATAACAATCTGGTTTCAAAATGCCACAAAGCACCAAGAAGTGTTTAAATCCTGAGGTTTTCGTTTTCCGGATACAAATAAGCATTTTAAATGCTTTCATGGACTGATCAGGCATATCATTATTATTTGTAGTTCTATTGGTGTCAAAGTGCGACGAATGATATATGCTGAAACTTTCAATCAGAACCAGCATGACCTTGTTTAGCAATCTGAGCTGCAGTCTTGTCTGTACAGCTGTAAACCAGGAAAGGGCTGGAGTTCATGTTCTGACCCAGTTACCTTCAGATCCCAATCTGGACCCTTTCATTCTCACTCAAATTCTTACATTTGATTATATCTTCCTGCTTTTAACACATAAACTTTAACATGTAATCTCCATTAGCTGCGTCTAGAAAAAAGCAGCGTTGTTCACATGTCACTACTCACAATGTTACTCTGGTTGGTATGTTTCTCATCATAAAACTGCACTTTGAATAAAAAAAACACTATTTTTCCAATTCTTGTGTTCTGAACAGATGACACTATAGATAAATAATATGGTTGCTTTAAATATCTGAAGCAGATAAAAAGTTGAAGTATTTCTCATCATTCTTTGATTGCGTCATCACCACTTGGTCACTTACCACGCCAATCCCTTCAAAGGCAAAGATGGCCGTCCCAAAAAACAGAGGGTAGTCCTTGGCTCTGCCGACCTTTGGTAGATCAATAGGAAGCTTGATGTTCTGTTAGGGTAACAAAAAAAAAGAAAAAAAAAAGAAAAGAAAGATTAACGGTTTACTTCAGGCATGTCCAGACATTTGATATCATCTTTCAAAGCCTTTCTGAATGCTAATTAGTGATTCATTACGGCTAAAGTCCAGCCGTACTGTTTCATATCTACCCAAATCAAATCTGCAGTCAAGGGGTCCTCTCCGTAGATTACCGGCAGTCACATTAAAATAAGACCTTGTGCAAGGAGGACGCCCCACCTTATGCCTGCTGAACTCATTTGCTGGCTGAAGCCTGCAAATTACCTTTGTTTGTAGCAATTATTTAACACAATTACTCTGCTCTGTTTGCAGCAGCAGCAGCAAAAAAAGAAAAAGAAAAAAAAACTGGATAATATATGAGGAACTCTTATTACTTGTTAAAAAAGTCAACATGCATCATCAACAATCATTAGTTGCAGCCCTAATTAAAAAAAAAATGTTCCCATTATGCAGCAACTCTGATCTCAGTTGAGTTTAAACTCCTCAAATGACTGAACATTGATTTATCATTTAATATTTATATCATTAAATACAAAACAGGGACGGTTCTTCAGTGTAACAAGGACATGTCAACAAATTTGAACTATAAAGAAGTCAAACTGAGCAACTGAGAAAGTAAACGTAAAACTTCTTGTAGTCAGTGTCCTTCAGTTTTGCTGAACTTTGTTGATGCAGATCCAGCTTATGGGTCACATATCTCAGTCCCAAATCTCTGTGAGGTTTCTGATGCAAGAAATTGCTTCGTTTCAAGGCAAGGCCATTCCTCGGCGAACACGAGTACTATATATCTGCAAAGCACAGAAGCAGGATGATGAAATGGTCGAAGGCCAGGAAACATGTAATCTGGAGACTCTTGTCTTCACTGGTTGTTCTGTTATTCAGAAAAAGCTCAAAATCCAATTGGCTTAGTAACCACAAAGCCGGACAGCGGGGAGAGACGGAAAACTGGGACTTTATTGTGTTCGGATGGAAAGTTTCATGAATAAAAGTTCGAGCTGAAGTATTGATTCTAATGTAATCACAAAAATATTGATCTTTTTTTCCTATAGGCTAAAAGATGAGTCATATTATCGCACAGACTACCATACTATTGCATCGGCACCAGCAGAGGGACAAAAATCCACGTTCCCCTACACCGACAAACTTAATGACATTCTCATTGATCTGGATATATCTTGCTGTTTAGGAATCAAGATATTAAACCACTGCAATATTTACTTTGTGGTTGTTTCCCAAAGAAAGTTAGGTTGTTAGGTTTCATTTGAATGAAACTGAAAGAACAGAAAGAGGGAAGTTTTAATGTTGGTTAATGGTTGATCCAGATTTGAGGGGGGGCTTTATTAACCAGAGAATAGTTTTAAGTAAACAACATGAGCAGCTGAGAGATGTATTATGAGACCTTCAGAATAAGAATGAAAACAAAACTGAATAAAATGTCCTTCAAACCAGCAGTCGATACATACCTGTGACTTCACTGAAAAAAAAACATTTCAAGATGGATGATAAAAGAATAACATTGAATTTCTGTGCTTAGAGCACATCAGTTTGCCTCATAAGGACTAAAACATTCTCCTCATCATCTGGGAATATTTTCAGACTTTCTAAATTAGCTTAGATTTGAGTTTTTCAATGTCTGGAAAAGTAAAATAATGATTTAATTGATAAGGAGGCAAGCTGAACAGCCATATTTCTTCCATAAGCATGTTGGATAACTGAATTATCCAGATTTTTACAGACTTTGATCTTTTTTAATCATTTTACCTACATGGTCATAAAAGCAAATATATGCTGGAGGTTCAAAGGAAAGTGAACCTTGTATCCAACAGAAAATAAAAAGTTTAAAACCAACCTGTATGGTCGGGAAAAAAAATTAATTTTCAGTTTTGATGCCTCTTATGAACAATAAAACATAAAAACAAATCTAATTTTATCATCTGGTCTACTAACAGCAAAGGGAAAATCAAGAGGAAACTTAAATATTTCATTTAAAATAAACATTTTAATTTTCCTTCTATTCGAAGAAAATTGCATTAGATAATGAATTAGTTTAATCTACAGCTTTTATTTTTAAGACTAGTTATTTAAATCTAAACAGACCCAATCAAGTCCATTCCGAAGCAGATGGATGGAGGACGTCTGGGTCCTTTGAGAGTCCTGAAAGGATTTATCTTCCAGCAGAACCAGAGGCGCAAAAAGTTGGTATGCAGCATATGCAACGCATAGGGGCGCAGCACCAGAGGGGGCGCCAAAACCCCGTATGGAGGGGGCGACGCGCCTATTATGTTTTCCCATACAGTTCAGCGCGCCTCACGCTCCTTCACTTTCGCACATAACGAGGTACATGTAGGGAGTTTCACAGTTCACGCAGCGTCGCCTCGGGGTGGGGGGCGATTTATGTTTTCGCATCCACCTGAATAATGTGCAGTTGCGTCACTGTTTGCGACATAAGCAGCTGCTTTTTAAAGAAGGCTGATTCTGGGGATAATAATAAATACAGAGGGCAAAGGTACAAACAACACTATCAGAACGTTTTGTTGTTTACTTGCATCCAAGTGTGGAAGATCATGAATCACGATATGTTTTTTCATTTTTTAAAATATTTTAAAAACTTAATTATGAAGGTTGGCGGTGCACCGCGATCTGAACTGAAACATCTCGGGTGAAGTCGGTGTTTCCGTTGAAGCTGCTTCTCCCGGCGCACACATTGGACCGTGTATCCCAGGATTTCTCCAGCTTTCTGAGTTATGGACAACCAAAGTGTTTTGATGAACGACTTCAAAAAAGAAGAGCCCACCTCCTCTGAAAAAGAAGAGCCC